TCACCAAATGTTGATGTTGAAGATTATTTAAAATTTCCCCTAACAACTGTACAGCTTCCGATTAAATTCACAACCCCTAAAGAAATTCAAGAACTAATTAGGAGTCTCAAAGTAAAAAAAAGTCCAGGACATGACCTTATACCAGTTATTGCTTTAAAAATTTTTCCTAGAAAAGCTCTCGTTTACATTACGTCTATTTTTAATAGCTGTCTACGCACTGGATATTTTCCCGAAACGTGGAAGAAAGCTGAACTCGTAGTAATTCATAAGCATGGTAAAAACGCTAAACAAGTCAGTAGCTATAGACCGATAAGCTTATTACCCATAGTTGGAAAATTACTAGAGTCAGTCATAAAAAGACATCTTGCATCCTTTTTACAATGTAATAGTATTATTCCTGATTTTCAATTTGATTTCCAGTATAGTCATTCCACTTCACACCAACTGGCAAGATTATCAGAATTCATAGTAAATGGATTTGAAATGAAAAAACATACTCTTGTCACGTTTTTAGACTTTCAACAAGCGTTTGATAAGGTTTGGCATTGTGGTCTACTGTACAAGCTAAAGAAAGTGGACACGCCCAAATATTTATATGACGTTCTGAGCTCATTCCTCAATGGCAGAACATTTACAGTTAGAATAAATAATATAAATTCAACCTTAAGACAAATCCATGCCGGCACCCCACAAGGTTCTGTTCTTTCTCCCATACTTTTTAACTTTTATGTTCACGACATTATCCAATCCACAAACACCTCCATAGCTATGTTTGCCGACGATACAGCTGTCTTTTCCCAACACAATGATATATTAATAGCCAGAAATTCACTGAAGTCTTACCTAGTAAATCTAGAACAATATTTAAAAAAATGGATGATTTGTCTCAACACCGAAAAATGTACAGCAAAAATTTTTACTCTTAGACGTCCCTCAGATCCACCTGAACTGATTCTCAAAAATAAAGAACTAAAATGGAACCCAGCTAGTGAAGCAGTAAAATACCTCGGAGTTTATCTGGACCGCCGCCTTACGTGGAATTACCATATAAATAATAAACTGACCCAAACATACGCAAGGTTAGCAATGTTATATCCCATAGTAAATAGAAAATCTAGTTTAAAACCAGAGACAACTTTTCTTATTCATAAAACCATACTAAGACCCTTGCTAATGTACGGATGTGAAGTCTGGGGAGCCGCTTCAGCTACGAAAAGAAAAAAACTACAATCCTTCCAAAACAAGGTATTAAGAATTGCAGTAGATGCCCCCTGGTTCATAAGAAACGCTCAACTACATCGAGAACTAAAATTGGAAACAATAGATGAATTCATCAAAAAAAGATTTAAAAAATTCCATACGCAGCTACCAGCAGTTAAAGGTGCAGTGGCCTACAACTTAGGAAACCCAACCTCATCTCGAAGACTGAAGCCCAGACTGATCCAAGACATCATGTTATGAACCATTAAAAATTTTTTCTTTATTAATTGTAATTATTCAATAATTATAATGTATAAATAGTTAGGGGTGTCTTTTGCAAAAGCTATACCCCACCAGAACAATTGTTAAAAATCATCAAATGTTACAACAACCATGTAAGGCCCACCAGGCCGATCTGGTAATAAGTAAATTTAATAATAATAATAAGTTATGGGAAGATTGCTGATTACATTTCGTTCTTCAGGAATTGCCTTTGAAGTTACGGTCTCTGTGACCATTGAGTTTTGATCTTCAGAAATAGTGTCTGCAGCTATGGATTGGTTGGTGAGTTGGTTTAGTTTTTCATTATCTGTGTCTGAAGTTCTGTGCTGTGGGATGAATGGTTTTTGTACATCACCAACTGCCTCTGATTCTGGACAATTTGCTGCGAAGTGTCCAGGTTTTCTGCAAACATAGCAGATTAAGAGGTCTTCTGCTAGATAAATGCGCTGGGAGATACCTTCATTTTGGATAACTAGCGATGAAGTAACATTGGGCATATCCTCGGGGTTTATATATGCATAGCGTTTAAAACTCTTTATATGACTCGTCTTGGGGTCTCGGTAGCCTGCATTTAAAAATGATATGGGGGAAAGTACTCTAATTCCTATTTTTTTTAGCTCAGTTTCTATTAAGCCGTTTGGAATGCTGGGACAAGCATTTGAAATTATTATTCGTTTTGCTGGATTTATTAAGCGTCGGATTGGGATTGAGTGTCCTTCTATCGTAACGATTTTGTGTTTTGATAAAAGTTTGTCTACTTGTTCTTTATTAGACAAGTGTATACAAAATCTGTTATTTGATATGCGTGACGCAAACTTTATTGCTTGAGGTTCTACAAGGTCAGATATCCTTTCCACATACTGTTTTTGTTTTATGCCTTTGTGTGTTTGGAGCACAATTGCATATTCGCGGTTCGACGGTTTTTGGGTGTTCATTATCTGAGCATAGGTTGGGTGACGTGATGTTTGGTTTTCAACTAAGTTACTTACAGTTTTATCTGCATTTCTACTCTCTTCTTTTCAAGATACTCCTAGTCTGTCCATGTTCCAGCCTCCTGCCATTTCGTTTCCGAGATGCGTTTGGTAAACGCAAACTCGGCTAGACTCTGTGAACCGTCCCTGAATGAAGATTTCACAGTGTAGGTGTCGTTCTCTTGTTAACAGTTAGTCTCCACTATTCTTCCCTCTGTCTATCAGTCGACAAATATTCGTTTTAGTAAGAGCAATTATTTTTAGAACTTTTCGTAAAAATTACATTAAAATTATATTTAGTGATTTATTGTGTTTTTAAATTAAAAAAAGATATATATTAAAGTAAAGGTTATATGTTGTAATATAGAAAGTTGTTATAAATAGGTATCTACAATTATGCATTTTATTAGGTCTCTGTCATTTTCGAAGTTAATTTACTGTCAAATTTAAAAATTCCCAGGTATAAACAAAGAAACAGGGATTTATTTTGTTTTTCGTGGGAATTTAATAATTTTAAGGTCATATTCGTGTCCCTTGGCCTTAAAAATATAAGTGAACTAAATATCAAGGTAATCCGACTTCATTTACGAGTTCTTGACCCTTGTCCGCGAAAACCCGCCTTTCGTCCCACTGTGCGACGGACGGACAAAAAAATGTTTATTCGATTTTCGAATTCTACGTATCCTGATACGTAAAACATTTTTTTTGGGAGGAGGAGAGTTAAGTTTTTGAATTTGTTGGTTGATTACAATGGTTAATTATTGAAAATATTTAAAAAACTCAGCAAACAATGCACAATGTTGGAAGATTTCCTAGAACCAACCCGGTGAAAGGATGCAGTCCATTTACCAATTCAGTTGGAATAGGCGATTCCCGATTCCTAATGGATTCACCGGTTTTGTTCTAGGTAATATTTCAGTCGTGTTCCATTGTTTGTTAGATTATTTACTTTCCGAATCTACTCTTCCACAATGTTTGTATTTTAAATGCACACAGTTGTAAATTTCATAAATAATAAATAAAAAAAAAACTCTTCCATCGGCATTTCGTATTCCGACATTTATAACCTACGATCATTTACGTTACCATTTTGTCTATTTTCCTCTCTGTTTGTTTTATTTGTATATAAGCACAGTTTTTTCTCTTTTGTATTTTATTTTTAAATATCTCTTATTATATTAATATTTAATTTAATATACGACCATATTGCCATATTTTATTTATTTTGTATTTATAATTTGTTCTACAGAGTCATTATACTTAATAAAGTAAATTATTTTGTCGCACAATGACATGAAGAAGTCAAATAATTCTGTATTTGCTACCATATTGATTTTAGTAGCAATGAAGTTTTTTTAATACCCAATAATCTTAAAACTGTTTAATAATTTTGTTTTCCTCATTTTTTTGTAATGAAGAAGCGGATAATAACAGGGAGACAAATTTCGAAGAAGCACTTCTCGATAAATTTTCGGATTTAAAAATAGAAAATGTTCTGGATTTGGCCAAATGGGCCGTGGTGACGGACTCGATGAGTACACTTCTTGCGATTGGACAAACTAGGAAAAAAAAATACAGTAGCAAAATAAATAAGAAACGTTTGGTGGCTGATAAGAGAGAAGGGCAAAAAAGTAGTGTTCGTCTGGGTCCCTTTGCATTGAGGGATCACCAGTAGTGTTGTCCAAAATCGGTCTTGGTCTTGCATTTTGGCAAGGCCACCTAACTGTTGCAAGACCAAGAGCAGGACTGATAAAAAAAATCGATTTTTAAATAAAAATTAAGGCAAAATAGTTACTAATACTCGACAATCTTAGTTACTATATGTAAAGAATTGGTGTAACCAATATACTTTTGCATTTAACTCCTCTAATTTTTCATTCGGACTTAGTTAGGTTTCTCCTATCTAAAAAAATACAGTAATATCTCTATAGTAATAAGCTAATAAGTAACTACAAGACTGTTGCGAGACTCTTGCGCAAGACCAAGACCATGACCAAGACTGAGTTTGCAAGACCAAGACTCGTCTCGGTCTCGCATTTGGGCAACACTTATCAATATGTCAAGAAAGACAGGCACAACTCCGGTGGAATTTATCACTCGAATTCCTTTAAAGGACATCTTAAGTAAATTTAAGGAAGATATTTGGAAAAGGTGACAAAGTAAGTGGTAAGAAAAAGAATCAAAATAAGAGAAATAATAAAATATCCTATCGGTTCTCCAGTGAAGAAGAGGCAGCACTTTTCAGACTAGGAATTGGACATTGTCAGTTCTCGCACGCCTACCTACTAAGAGGACTTGATCCTCCGACATGTGAGAGCTGAAATGTCCAACGGACCATAAAACACCTCATACAAGACTGTCCTACATTTGAAACAGTAAAGAAAAGGTTGGAAATGGCAAAAAGCTTAAAAGAAATCTTGAATAAACAAAAGAAACAGCGAAATAACTTAAAATTCGTTTGAATTTTAAAAAATAATAAATTTCTATAACACAGTGTAAATAAAAGGTGTTTCCAATAAAATACAGGATACAGTCAACAAAATAAATAAATAAATCAAGTGAAAGTTGTTCTGTTCCATAAAGGGTACAATACATTTATCATAAATGGACATTTGATAACAATTGGATTCAGATTGACAATTAGCAGTGTAATATAACTATGTAAATATTGCAAGTTATTTTTTTAATTTTGATTAGGTATCATATAGTTTTAATTACGAATCTGATGAAATATTAAGTTTCATAGTCCAGGATTTCCGCAAAAAGCTGGGTACTCATATTTTATTTATTGATTAAATATTTAGAATTTGAAGGCAGTCAAAAATAGGAGGGCATGCTTAGTAAAGATAATAAAAAACATAAATAAAAAAAATATATATATTATTTTTTACTTAACAATAATACTTGCGGGTCCTTACATTACAATAGTATAAAAAAGGTACGAAAATGATGACTGGATTTTAAAGATTTTTAGTGATGAATTTTCAGGTATCCTCCGTGGAGTCCGTGGCCATATCCTAGTCCAGAACCGTAGCTGTAGCTACCACCTCCGTATCCACCGCCGTATCCACCGCCATATCCACCGCCGTAACCACCGAGTCCACCACCAAGTCCGCTGCCGAATCCTAAGCTACCACCGCCGAGGCCGAATCCAGAACCAGCTGAGACAGCGACTGGCTGAGGAACAATCACGGGCTGTGGTACAGAAACTGGAACTGGCCTATTCACAGTGACTGGTACAGGCTGTGGGACAGAAACAGGTACGGGCTGTGGAACGGCTACTGGGACTGGTATTGGCTGAGGAACTGGCTGAGGTCTTGGAACGACTACTGGATAAGGGCGCACCACAGTAACTGGGACAGGCTGTGGCACTGGAACGGGGACTGGACGAGGCACAGCCACGGGAACTGCTACGGGTTGTGGAACAGGAACTGGGCGAGGAACCGATACTGGAACTGGCACGGGTTGAGGAACAGCGACGGCACTGGTCACTGTGTTGACCGAAGTAGGCACTCCACCGCCGACTATGGCGCCGCCTCCGAAGCCGAAGCCGCCACCAAGTCCACTGCCGAGTCCACCTCCACCGAGCGCGTAGCCTCCGGAGCCGAGACCGTAGGAACCTAATCCGTAACCTGATCCACCATAGCCGTATCCTCCATAGCCGTAACCTCCGTGTCCATATCCAAGACTAAGCAGACCTCTCTTTTCTTGCTTCTTCACTGGAGCCGCATTCTCGCAAAAGCAGCTCACGAAGAGGCAAGCGAAGATTACCTATAAGAGAAAATAAAATTATATTCACTAACGCCTTCACTTTCTGGAAAATATTGAATTGAAAAAGTTATTATTATTTTCTTTCCTATCTTCATAATAATAAAACAACGCGTAATGATTATTGGAGAGTTTTTCCCTAAAATATTTGGTAAACTAAGACACTGACATTAAATCAATGTCTAATACACAGAGACTATTGGTTTAAGATAGATGGCAAGATTTCAGTGATCATTGTGAATATGGCCAAAAAACATTAAAAGAAATTACAACTTTTGACCTAAGGTCTCAAAATGATATGCTATACACACATGTTTCATATATATAACTATTACGATTGTGATTTTAAATCAAACTATTGACACAGCCTTAGTATTTTATATTGATATCAGGTTTGGTTCACGTAAAGTAAAGAATAAATTATTATACCAAAATGGAAAATAAAGCAATGATATATGATTGTAATACAAAATTCACTAGAAATAATGTTCGAAATAATTCAATTTGCTTCAATGATTGCGAATAATTACTGAAATAATTATTTTTTTAAACTAAATTTTCTAACATGAATTTCTAAAAACTGTGTTATTTAGTATTGGAGCATACACTTTAGATACTATTTTAATCTTTTATCAAGAATAGCTGAGTAATTCAACCCAATGAATGTTTCTCATAACAAAGATATGGCAATAAAGCTATATAAATATATAGATATATATACTCATACCGCTTGAGTAAAATTTAAAAAACATTCTTACAGCGAAGTAAGAATAAATATTTTTTAAACATGATTACGTTTTAAAATATGATTTCATTATCTAGTTTATTTAATTTTTTTTTGGATCGCTATCTGGGTGTCTATGCTTTTGAGTTTTGTTTTTAATTAAATTAATCGTAATCTGACGGATAAACAATAACTTCAAAAGAGCTTAAAAATATATTTCTTCAGTTGTACTATATCCTTAAATATGAAACAAAAGTAAATACAAAGAGAAGAAAAGCAATAAAATTGCAAGGCTGCACAAATATGTTATAAATAAAACCCTGCATGAGTTTATATATATGATTTCATTATCTAGTTGATTTAATTTTTTTTTTTTTTTATAGCTCTCTGGATGTTTATGCTTTTGAGTTTTGTTTTTAATTAAATTGATCGTAATCCGACGGATAAATAAAAACTTCAAAAGAGCTTAAAAATATATTTCTTCAGTTGTACTATATCCGTAAATATGAAACAAAAGTAAATACAAAGAGAAGAAAACCAATAAAATTGCAAGGCTGCATAAATATGTTATAAATAAAACCCTGCACGAGATTATATATATGATTTCGTTATCTAGTTGATTTAATTTTTTTTTTTTTTTGGATAGTTCCGGATGTCTATGCTTTTGAGTTTTGTTTTTAATTAAATTAATCGTAATCCTACGGATAAATAAAAACTTCAAAAGAGCTTAAAAATATATTTCTTCAGTTGTACTATATGCGTAAATATAAAACAAAAGTAAATACAAAGAGAAGAAAAGCAATAAAATTGCAAGACTGCACAAATATGTTATAAATAAAACCCTGCACGAGTTTATATATGTATGATTTCATTATCTAGTTGATTTAATATATATTTTTTTGGATAGCTTCGGATGTCTATGCTTTTGAGTTTTGTTTTTAATTAAATTAATCGTAATCCGACGGATAAATAAAAACTTCAAAAGAGCTTAAAAATATATTTCTTCAGTTGTACTATATCACTAAATATGAAACAAAAATAAATACAAAGAGAAGAAAAGCAATAAAATTGCAAGGCTGCACAAATATGTTATAAATAAAACCCTGCACGAGATTATATATATGATTTCATTATCTAATTGATTTAATATATTTTTTTTTTTTTGGATAGCTCCGGATGTCTATGCTTTTGAGTTTTGTTTTTAATTAAATAAATCGTAATCCGACGGATAAATAAAAACTTCAAAATAGCTTAAAAATATATTTCTTCAGTTGTATTATATCCATAAATATGAAACAAAAGTAAATACAAAGAGAAGAAAAGCAATAAAATTGCAAGGCTTCACAAATATGTTATAATCAAACCCTGCCCGAGATTATACATATATATATATATATATTGTAAAATAATATTGAGGCTGAAGGTGTTCCCTTAGCTTGGAGTATCGAAGCTCGATTAGAAGCTTTGAAGAGGATACCATTCAGTGTATAAGAAAAGAAGGGATCGAAACGTTATCAAATAAAAAATATAAATTGCAAATTGATGTAGTTTATTAAAATTGTAAATTAAATGACCTAACTCTCTAAAATAATAATTATTTTACAATATAATATTTAAGTGTCGATGGAAAAAACCGGCTTTAATATTCATTCATATTTGTATATAAACACTAAACACTTTTTTTTATTTGTTGATCCTAACAATCAATTAACAATTTTGTCACTGACATCCGACATTTTGTTTTAAACACGCGATTTAAGTTAATGTACTTGTCGACATCGGTACTCGGGGCAGTTGAACGGTACTCACCAGGTTAAGCCTCATGTTGGTTGTACTGCTGCTTGCAGATCACTGGTTGCTGACTGATTCCTCGACTCAGTATATATACTGCTCGCCCAGACCGGTCCAGCAGCTTCCTAGTTCCCCACCCGCGAAGCAAGTACCTTCGATGTAGTAACATTTTAATCCCTATTACCACAATGTTATCTAATTACAGCTTAAATTAATTAATCAAAATAGTTAGAATAAGTCGAACAATAATTATTTATTACTACTATACAAGGTTTTATCCGCATTCAATGGTTAATTAATAAGGAACACGATAGCTTGATTATGAATGGTACCTAAAAAATCTCCGGAGTAACAGCTTTTTTTTTTCGTATTGATAACGAAAACATTTTATATTTATGGTGTTTAATAATTAAAGCTAGTACCCAAAAAGTTGTAATACATTTTGAATATATTTAAACTTAAATTAAGTGCGTAGTTTAAAGCACCAAACGATTTTTCTACAAACAGCAGAATGACTACAGTGTGGCATTTGTTTAGAATCCATAATGTGGCATTTTTGTTAATTTTCAATAATCAACCATTGTGATCGACCAACAAATTCAAAAATTTAACCCCCTCTCAAAATTTGAGATTTCACGTTTCAGGACGCGTAGAATTCGAAAAACGAATACAAATATTTATGTCCGTCCGCCGTCCGTCGTCCGGGCATTTTCTCCGAAACCACTGGACCATTTTTTTTCAAATTTTGATATAAAATCAGAGGTCAAACGAGGATGATCCTCCTTCATCGACATTACTATCCGCCTTTTACTTTCAAAATAGATGTCGAAAAACCTGCGTTGCTATAGACTGTAGCTCCTAAACGAATGTACATATTTCAATTTAACTTGGCTAAATTCATCTTCTCGACGCCCTTTAAATTTATTTATATAACATACTTCAACGCAAAGAAACTGTAAAAATGTAATGAGGGATGGAAAACTTAAATTACGAATAACTCGAAAAGTTTATACTTTTTTGTTGATATTGTGATAAGATGTTTCAAAGGTATTTAAATTTCCTAAAAAATGAAGGAAGTTTCATCGAAATCAAAGCACTATTAGTAGAGATATCGCGATTTTTACATATTTTTGGTTTATTATTTTCAATAATCAACCATTGTGATCGATCAGAACATTCAAAAACTTAACCCCCACTCAAAATTTGAGGTTTCACGTTTCAGGACGTGTAGAATTCGAAAAACGAATAAAAATTTTTATGTCCGTCCGCCGTCCGGGCATTTTCTCCGAAACCACTGGACCATTTTTTTTCAAATTTTGATATAAAATCAGAGGTCACCCAGGGATGATCATCCTTCATCGACATTACTATCCGCCTTTTACTTTCAAAAACCTGCGTTGCTACAGACTGTAGCTCCTAAACGAATGTACAGATTTCAATGAAACTTCGCTAAATTCATCTTCTCGACGCCCTTTAAATTTATCTATATAACATACTTCAACGAAAAGAAGCTGTAAAAATGTAATGAGGGATGGTAAACTTAAATTACGAATAACTCGAAAAGTTTATACTTTTTTGTTGATATTGTGATAAAGTGTTTCAAAGGTATTTAAATTTCCTAAAAAATGAAGGAAGTGTCATCGAAATCAAAGCACTATCAGTAGATATATCGCGGTTTTTACATATCTTTGGTTTATTATTTTCAATAATCAACCATTGTGATCGACCAGACAATTCAAAAACTTAACCCCCTCTCAAAATTTGAGGTTTCACGTTTCAGGACGCGTAGAATTCGAAAAACGAATAGAAATTTTTTTGTCCGTCCGCCGTCATTTACTACGAAACTACTGGACCAATTTTTTACATTAAACCCCCTAGCTAGGAACTAATAAATAAATAATGTTTTGTAAATGTTTGGTCTGTGTAAAAAATTAAATGAAATTCTATAAAAAAATAATTATAATAATATTCCTCAGTTGCATTGTTTTTGTAAATAAAAAAAAAGAAATACGACAATGTTACCTCTTTATAGAGATATGTTTCACCAGCGAAAGATGTCTCGTATTTTTAAAAATAGAAATTATGTTTGGAAAAAACATAAGGAGTATAATACGTGCATATACTTATATACCGATACTTCAAAAGTAGCCAAATGAAGTAAAATGCTCTGTTCTAAAGTCTCAAATTCTAAAGCTCTTTAAACTCCCGGAGGTTTGCTGCATTTTAACCGATGAAATGGTAGCAATAAGAAAAGCATTGAGAAATCTGAGAGTACCAGTTGGGCTGCGATAAGGGACCCGATGACTTTAAGACTTTAATAAGAAACATTTGGTGGTTACTAACAGAGAAGGTTAAGAAACAATGTTCATCTGGGTCTTTGTACTCTTCGACAGAAGTAATATAATATAGCACGAAAGCCAGGAATAACTCCGGTTGTATTTACTAATGAAGTGCCTGTAAAAGACTTTTAAAAAAATGAAAGCAGGAAATTTGGAAAATGCGGTAGAACAGATGGTACCAAAAAAATCGAAATACAGTACCACTGCTTCAAATGAAAAACTTCTAACTGATTCCCCTAAAAAGAAGAGCCTGTAATCTGATGATTATGGATAGGGCATTGCAAGGACTAGAACCCCCAACCTGTGAGATTGGTATTGTATAAAGAACAATCAAGCATATTAAAACATACCCTATAGAATAATGCTCTATATTTAAAACGATAATGGAAAATTTGGTCAGGTACCAAATATGAAATTATAAATCCCAGCGAAAATGCTGTAAACAGAAACGACTACATTCTAATTCTAGAAAGCAGTGGAACTTTATAACAGAGTTCATGTTACCAGTGACTCTGCAATGTAGAGGCAACAAAAAAATAAAACAAATTCGATTGAACAATGCTTCAAGTAAAAATGTATTAATGGGACTTGGTATTTTTATGTATGAATGGTTACAAAACCATTTTGTCACCGATTTATTTATGTTTCGTCGAAGATTTTACCAAAATATAATTAAAACTAAATATATTTTCCTAAAAAAACGAAGCAAACTGTGAATGGTGCTAAATCCGTTTTAATGAAATCGAGTTGTCGTCGTCCCATCGATTGCTCTTTGGCATCGAGTTGATGTTGAGATGTATTCCGAAAAAGTTAATGTTTTCTCATTTAACTGAATGTGCTCACAAATATGTTGCAAGTGATGTAATTAGGCATTGAACAAATAAAGAAAATTTCTTTACTATACTAACAGAAAGTTATAACGTTTGCTCTTAAGTAGAAGTCCAACACCAGAAAGATGTTTGCTCTTAAGTAAGACGGCCGACACCAATTATTATTATAATTATGTTTATAGAGAATAAAGAATCCACCTTTAGTTTATTAACATTTATCTAGTACTAAATGCTAATTATTTTTTTAGTAAAATTAATAATATTCTGAAGTTGTCATGGTCTTAAAACCTAATAAATCTTCAGACTCCCCAGAATTCCTATCGTCCGATTAGTCTTCGTCCTTCCTTTTCTAAATTATTTGAAAAAAATATTCTTCGTCGCCTTGATTCTCTCGATATATTTAAATTTATTCCAAATCATCAATTCGGCTGCAGAAAGCATCATTCAACTGTTCAACAATTTCATCGATAGGTAGATTATATTTCTAATTCTTCAGAATCTAAAAATTATTGCCCTGTAGTTTTTCTTGACATTAGTCAAGCCTTCGATAAAGTTTGGCATGAAGGATTGCTCTCCAAACTTAAAATTTTACTTCCTCCGACCTACTATCTAATATTACTTTCATATCTAACGGATAGACATTTTAAGTAGGGGACAGAACGGTCTGACATTAAACCTATTAAAGCAGGAGTGCCTCAGGGTAGTGTCCTTGGACCAATATTGTTTAATATATATATGTCTGACCTACCGGAACACAACGACACAATATTGGCTACTTTTGCAGACTTAGAGATCTTAAGCTCAGATAAAAACCTTGTTCGAGCATCTACCATCCTTCAAAATCATCTGAACGATATTGCAGATCGGACAACAAGGTGGAAAATTAAGATGAATGAAAAAAAAAGTGTGCATGTAGTATTCACTCTTAACCATATACCTTCCCCTGAAATATATTTTAAGAACATTCAAATCCCAACAATTAGATGTAATTAGGTATTTAGGTTTTTACCTGGACAAAAGACTCACATCAGACAAAAACGTATAGAATTAAACAGACGATACGGTCTCTTATCCAGATTACTTGACAGACGTTCAAAATTATCTTTAACTAACACACTAACCCTTTAAAAAGTCTTACTTAAACCTATTTGGACTTACCGCATAGAACTGTGGGGTTCTGCTAAAACTTCCAACATTCAAAAAGTTCAGTTCTTTCAGTCAAAAGTGTTGCGAAGGATAGTTGACGCACCGTTTCATGTCGCAAATGATACACTACATAAAGACTTAAACGTACCTACAATTTTAGATACTGCAAAAGAGAACTACAATAACTTTCACCAAAGACTGACGTACAACATGAATCCTTTGACAGAGATCCTTCATCGTACAAGAAACCCGTACAGCCCACTGCGACGATTACGTAGTCGTTGGCCAAGAGACCTGCTGATCTGATTTATATCCTGGACGTGATGGGAAGCTGTGAAGCTGCTAAAAAATTTGCTTATTGCAAAGAAATTTGCAGATTGCAAATTTAATCTAATGTTTCACATTTTTGTTTGGTTAATAAATGATAAAATAAATATTTTTTTAGTATTATAGTATTCTGCTTCAATGTACCGGTGTCTATATTTTTTTTAAAATTTAATTTTGAAAACGTTAATGGGGGTGTTTAAACTATGTTAGCGAGGAAATACTGTTTCTAAAGATTGTTGTTTGAGGGAGTCATTGTTTTGGTTCGAGCTTCATACCGTATGTTGGTAGAAAGAAAAATAATAATAATTTAAAAGACATAATTATTATTCTACTTTAAATTGATAATCTTCTTCCATCATTTAGGTTCTACATGTTAAACATCATTTCCTATTAGGAAATTTAACGCAGAATCGGAGGTCAGATTTCAGTTTAGCCCAGTAGAAAAATAACATTTCTTTGTTTTAATTG